ATGAAAAGTGTTGTTCTTAATAAACTTTCAGGGTTATCGCTTCCCAAAATATTGCTTTTCCACTGGTCGTTTTCAATTGAAACAGAAATTATATCCACTTGTTTCGGTTTAAACCCAAGTTATTCCGAGAAGAAGTTTCATTTAAACTTCCAGTGATTTTCTTAACTTTTCAAAAAATTCATTGGAGAAAAAATTAACTTTCCTTCCCTTCAATTCCAAATACTTTTGTGAGCTACTAATTAATTCGTGCAACGTTTTTCCCGGGTAACGAGTTCCATCTTGTTTTCGAACTTCTTCAATGAATTGACTGAGGACCTCATTTAAATCTTCCTCTGGAATTGTATGTAGGTCTGAATACACCAACAGTATACCTCCGACAATAGATGTTTCCTTTCCGGGATTGTACAAACCTTCTCCCCACAGCGCCCACCTTTCATACAGACGAAAAGCCCAAAGGGCTTTTTCTTTGGTGCTTTTGGGTACAGACTGGACGAAAAGTTCAACCAAATCTTTCTCCGCGTTTATTTCAAGTCGACCTTCTTCATCCTGGCCGCAGTTCACTACCAATACAAATAAATCGAGATAAGAATTGACCGAAAAGCAAAAGAAAGGCATACAAAAAGATGTTCCGAACAGTTACCTTTAGCAGTTTGAAAGCACCTTCCCATCAGCAAACTAGGCCCGCCAACCTCAAACATGTCGGTAATATCGATAACGTCGTCTTCAAGACTCTTTTGCTCAAACATACCAAAACTCTGGGAGAGAATTTCATCGAGTCCATCGTCTAAAATTAACTCTTCTTTTTCGTATTGATCCACCCCCTGCGACAGCAAATCATCCAAACCATCGCTCATCATCTCTAATAAACGCGTTTCAAAATAACTCGACATATTTGTAGTAAAAGCGAGGTCCACTTAAGCATTATGGAACTCAGCTGCTGAACTGAAAGAAGAGCCTAGAAACACTAAGACCGTTGAGAAACTGGACAGATATTTAATTGTAATTTTAAGGGCTGCAAATCCTAACGGGATTTCATACATTGTCTGTGGACTCTTTAACCAGCAAACCACTCAAGCTATTCTTGGTCCGCTTCACAGCAGGTTTCCTTGACCGGAACAATGTAAGTGCATTACAAAGTCCTCGTTTTTGCATTTTTGTTTTTTCTTTATTCTGATTTTCCATAATGGCAACTATTTTAATTTGCACTTTCACCGCTTTAGCTTCGACCCACGCTGTTTGTATCCACACTGTTTGTACCACGCATTTTATTTCAAGTACCAAGCACGTCGGGTACAATAAATCGTCGTTCGAATTTGTTTTGTGCTGGTGTTGTTATTGAAGGCCAAGAGACTCAGTTTACGCTTATTGCAGTTTCAGTCTTTATGCCGTAAAGGCCATGACATTAGAGACCTTACGATCCGACAACGACGACGTCCATGAAAAAGTCACTGAAAAATAGACTTCGCATCCTTTCAAACCACTTCGCGATTTTCCAAAGTTGCCCTGTTACTTAAAAGAAAGGAATTTAGCCTGGAACTGAAGAGAAGGGGCGGCGCCCGAGTTCGGACAGAGATGGTAGAATTTATCGCTTGCCGTTCCCGTCTTATAAAAACTTAGAATTTGGTCATTTCACGTCGTAGATGTGCAGAGACGGCAAAGAAATGTACAAAAAAGCGTGATGCACGTGCAGAGTTGTTGTTTTCCTAACTAAACCTATTGCTTTTTGACGTTGCCGTTGCCGTCGCCGTCGTAGTTTCGTAAGGTCCCTATTTACCTTTTACAAAAACGTCAGAGCAACAATATATCCAGTGTTTCATAAAATATTTGTTAACGCATCCTCCGACACAAGAGTAAGGAAAGCGACGAATTAATACCTTGGATAATTTGCCATTTTATATATGGATATTTTCATCCTGCGTTTCCTACCGAGTCAATACGGTTTAAAATATCTGAACAAATTTTAGATTTAACATTGTGACTGACCAAGAAAATAAAAAATCACATAATGTGATTTTTTATTTCTTAAATTTTAAGGAAGAAGAATTTTTTGCCACCCACAAACCCCAAAAATGATCCGCGACGGATTCCTTCGAGTAAAATTCCTCAGTTTATTAATTGAAGAGTTAATAAGAGTCAATAAGGATTTCAGACAAATGACCCTTATT